ATGAAGGAATAAAAATTAAGGAAATGAGTTTCTATTTGAGATAAATTCAGTGGCCTATTTAGTGGACAATAGATTTAGGTCTTCGAAAACTCAAAAAAAAAAAGAAGAAGATATTTTTAATAGTTATTTTTTGTACACGGTTAGGAGGGGTAATTTGATTGAAGTAGAAGGCTCTAAAATGACAAGAAAAATATATAAAAAAGACATAGATGGAAGTAATGAGAAGAGAAATGGTAACTTATGGCTTAGGATATAGCCCTTAATAAGGTAGAATGGAAGTAACTTAATTCATGTAGACGACTCCAAATAGTTGGGATAAAGTTTAGATGGGTGATGATGATGATGATGAATGACTATTTTTGTGTATTACTTTTTTCTTTTTTTTGGCTATCCAAGGTGAGGCAGAGATGTTCCCAAAATTTCAAGAGACGGATTTGTAAAAATTCAGTATTTAAACAATATTCATTTATGTTGATCCAATTAGTAGACCAATCAAATTTGTTTTATGTAAATATATGTGTATTTAAATTTACCCTAATATTAGTAATTGATTATAAACTCACCCTAATATTTATAATTAATTGTTTATCAATTGTTTGCCTTTAAGAGGGGGTTGAATGTGTGTAATATTCTTATTATAATTCATTGTTTATCAATGGTTTGCCTTTAGGATGGGGGTTGAATACGTGTAATATTCTTATTGTTGGGCCCATGAAAAGACCCAATGCGCCCTAAAGAAAAGGCAGAAGAAGCTGAGGTCAGTAGAAGCATGGATGAATACTTAGACAATTACAATAAAGATGGCATTGTAAAAAGTTGATGAAACTTTGTGTCAATTCCATGCACTTGTTTCAGCACTTAGGACTTTTTCATCAATTTTGGAATCTCAAAAGCTTGGGTGAAAATCATAAAGAGGAGATGTTAAAGAGAGAAAGCCAATTGGTTGAATAAAAGTTTGGATATTTGCCTATGTTTTGATTACATAAAACCCTAATTGGCCCTCTTTTTGTGGTTGAAATAAGCCCTCTTTTTGGAGTAGAAATAGTTTACTATGATAGTCTTTAAGGGGATATCCTCTCTCATTTTGCATGTATTATGTCTCTGTGATACGTTGTTATCTGTTTTTTTTTTTGGGAGTAAGTTAATGATATTGTTATTTTTTTTATTACTTCGTAGATTCTTCAAATGTATATTATTGTATTGTTTTTACTAGACAACTTTTATATATCATCATAACACTCATATTTTTTGAGTTGATATCTATAACACTCGCATGAAGACCTCAAAATCTCAAACATATACTGAATGATCTACTGTTATAAAAATCACAAAATCTTCTCTCCTATCTTTGATGTGCTTTAAATAATTTTATGATGTCCTATTGCAATTTTTTAATCCACCAACATGGTGTGGATAAGAGCAATCAAACCTCAAATTCTTGGACTGATTATTATTGTTGTTGTTATTATTATATGGTACCCCCGCGAGGTGCCATCCATTCATTGGTATCTTAAAGTATAGGAGTTCTAGATTGATGAATAAATAAAGAAAATGGATGAATCTCCGCGTGATTTTGTGTTTTTGCATATTTAAGTGTATGTAGCATGCTCTCATGGGAGCATATTGTGCATTAACTCATTGGGCAAGAGAGCTACTTGGGAGTATTTTTTTTATCTAAAATGTTGGGATCCATCTTGAACACTAGATTGTTTTCAAGAAAAAAAAACAAAGGATTTTGAGTTCTTGAATATTTAGATCTTGCCCTCCAAAAATTGAACCCTCCCCATGAGTGAGTTGATTTTAAGTATGTGTGAGTTGATTTTTTTTTTTTGTGAAGTTGGTCACTAAGTTCCACAGTGTACGTCGCCAGAATTTGGGCCCTAAAAATACTCTTTTAACTTTGAGAAGGAGCAAATAGACAATATCCTCCTTGTGGTTCAACAAATATTTTAACACAGTTGAAACATTTTTTTTGAAACTTGTAGTCAATGTAACTAGTGAAACTATAGTACTTTTAATCTTTGAGATGGAAGAATCCGACATATCACGATTTGGTTGTTAAAAGGAATATTTCAAGCACAATACTTGGTGCAATCTTTATTTAATGAGAAACCCCAGCTCAGCCTAGAAAACTAGAATATTCCTTTATGCGTTAAATAAATTTAGAAGAGCATAGCTTTTTTTTATCTTCTTATGAGCAGCATTTAGATGATTTAGATTCCTCTTTATAATTATTTTTTATTACTTGGGATGAGGAGAATTAAAATGCTGTTAAACATGGACCAATACCTTATGCATTAAAGAAAGAATGTGCATAGAGTTTGTATATATGTTTATTTATTGTTCGATCTTAGAGACGGGTGTGGTTTGTATAAGGTTGAGGCTTAGGCGACCCTTCAAATAGTATTAAAATATGTTGTTTCAGTACTTGAAATCCTTGTGATCTTTGTGATGGCTTAAATTTATTTTCACTTCTAATTATAAAATTTAAAGCTTAAAAAATAATGTAAATTGAGCACATCTATGAACACTTGAAATTTTTGAAAATTGACGGTCCATAAAATGCATTACAAGATGCACTATTTTGAAGAGTTGAAATCCATTTTATCCCATGTCTATACATTTTGAAGTCGAGATGATTGATTTGAGGAGTTTCGGGCATCAAAACAACCTATTCTAATGAATTTTCAAGGTGCGCTTTGCCTTAATTTGATTGTTTTGAGCCTCAGCCTTATATATAAACTTTTTCCCTTAAAGAAAGGTTTTTCCTCGCATAAAACTTGCTTTGCCATTAATAGCTTTTGTCGTTTTAAGTGTAATTAACAAATGCCCCCTTAGGGTGTTAAGGAATGGTTGACACAATTCAAGTAAATGTCCATAAAACTTGCTTCGCCATTAATAACTTGTCATTTTAAGTGTAATTAACAAAAATGTCTCTTAGGGTGTTAAGGAATAGTTGACGCAAGTCTACTAAAAGTCCAAAATGAATTCATAATTTTTGCGATATATAACTGGCTTATTGAGGTGCTTGGTAATACAAAATCAATCGGTGTGTTGGTGTCATAGGGCTGGCAATGCATGGAGTGGTTGGTCGGTTCCAAAAAAAAAAGTTGGTCTGGTCCACTAGGAATGGCAATGGACCCAGACGCGACCTGGAACCAACGTCCATACCAGACCTGGGTCCGGGTATGGGTCAAAACATTGGATATGGTAAGTTGGGTCCAATAGTTAAATAATATTTAATATATAATATTTTAATAAAAATAATTATATTATTAATTATAATATTTAAATAATATATATATATATTTAATATAATATTTAAATATTTTTATTTTTATTTTTTTTGGTTAGGTCAATTGGGGTCTGGGTCCAATCAGGTCCGGGGGACCCAGACCCCCGTTGCCACCCCTATCGGCCACAAGGCCCACAACAGTTAGCTCGAGGGTTGGTGCAAAGCCTAAACCAACCTAATGAAGCTATTTCTTTGTTTTTCTTTTTATATTTTTGGGCCAAAGCCATGCTAGACCACCAAGTCAGGCCCTCTTCAACTCGGTTTGGCCCACGTTAGCCGTAGCTCAGCCCCGGTCCACTGTCAGCCCCTTTTTGTTAGATACGACCTAAGTTGAAAAAGCATGGAGACCCTTATTCAATTTGAATAAGCAGCATGCCTGTGTGCACCTTTTTTATTTTTTTAAGTCCAGTTTCAAAGGGGTTTTAAATGATTTTTGGATCCTTAAATCTCTCAAAAGATGGATGTTGAAAGGGCCTCGTAGTATTTTTGTAAGATTGGGGATCGCATGCCAACACTACCCACAATGATTAATCCTAGGAAATAATGAAAATGCACTAGTTTTCCAGCTCAATGTTTCAAAACCCAGATTAATGGGGGGATCTTTCACCACATATCGATGTTGGATTATTGGATTGGTGATCCGAGTTGGATCTGGATGGTTTCAAATTAGTGATCTAGAAAATATTTAAAATGAATAAAATAAAATAAAAAGTTAAGAAAGGTTTATGAGCTGGAGACTAAGAGGAGATCTAAGAAAATATTAAATAAAATTTTAAAAAAATTAAAATATATATAAAAGGGGTTATAAAGGAGAACCAGGCTGGGATCCATTTGATCTCAGAACCAATTTGGTCCTGATTGATTCCTATTTGGACTAGCAATATGGATAACAAATCACCAGGTTTTAAAACTCTGGGTCCAAAATGAATGATAGTGAGAGGGTTGGGTAGTCTAATTCAAATATTAGGCAAAGTTTTCATTTTTAGTAAATTAGTTAATTCTAAGTTTAATATTTTCAAATTTTCAATTAGAGAATTTTTATGATTGGCATAATTTTCCAAACTACAGGCAATGCACAAGCAGTATTGTATTTGTTGGATATAGTGATATCTAAAATCACATACATCAGAAAATCCCATATTATGTGGGATTGTGATTGATATTGATAAGTTTCTTAAAAAAAATAGAAATCCGAAAAGATTAAGACACTGAAACTAGAAATATATGTAACATCTATAGATTCATAACCTTATCTATATGTAATGAAAGAACAAAGAATTGATGTGCCTTACTTGGATCATCATATAGAAAATGTGGCTTCCTCTATAGAGAGAGGTTGTGCCTCGTCTGCTCCATAGGCAAGATTTCTCCTTAGAGGAAAGAGAGCCTCTCCTTATAGAGAAGAAAACTCTCCTTAGAGGAAAGAGAGCTTCTCCTTAGAGAGAAGAGAGCTTCATACAGAGAGAAACACCATGGATGTGCCTTTATGTAGATTGAGATGTTTGAAACGTTGGTTTCTTGTAGAGAAGCGGCTCCTCTGAAGATTTTGGGTGGGAAATGTGCTACATTGGGAAACTGGTTCAATTCCCATGAAGATTTTTTGGTAGTTATCCTTTTAGTAAGAGAAAGTCTTAGTTGTTGTGAAAGATCTCTTCCTGGATAGCGGTGTACTTGTAGAAAGTTGTGGAGTAGAGATAAGAGATCGATGGGTGGTGCCGATCAGGAGAGCGGGTATGAGAGATCAGTGGGTGGTGCCGATCGGAAGAATGGGTTTAAAAGGGTTTGTTCAATTGAGTTTTGTCGAGGGTTAACTCTGTGTCTCAAAATCTATAATATAACTTTCATTGGTATTTTAGTTTACAGTTTTTTCGTGTCCTGGTTTGATCGATTGTACTTTGTCGAGGGTTAGAGAGGCAACTCTGTATCCCATAATCTATGATGTAACTTTTGGTATAGTGGATTTCAATTTGTCATATGTATGGATGTAGCGCTCTTAGGGTGAACCACGTAAATCTTTGTGTTTTTGTGGTATATATTTCATGCTTTATTTCTCGTATTGTGTTCTCTCTTATTTTGTTTCTAACTGGATAAGCACACGATCTAAATCCTAACAATATTCATCTCCACCATTGTTTTTTTAACAATTAAGGCGGTCCACCATTTGTTCTTGAGAATAAAATATTGTGAATACTTTCATACTTCATCAGCTAATTACAACATTGGCTCACGACTAAGAAATTCTTAAAAAGCCCTAACAGGGGGATATGACCAAGTCTAATTGAACACACATTATCTTGGACCTAGCAAACAATTTCAAAAGTCAAAATAAAAACCGAGAAAAAAAATTTCTCAAGGAGAGAAAATTTCAACATAGGCCATAATTTCATGTAACAGTCTTTAAGAACCCAAACTCAATATTTTTTTTTATTGTTAACTTGTTGCATTCATTTCATCATTCACAAAATACAATACCATAGGATCATACAAAAAGTACAACAGATTTGCAGTAACATCAAACAAGAAAGAACCAGGAACTATAATATGGAGCTGAACAGAGGAGAGAGGAACAGATTTGCAGTAACATCAAACAAGAAAGAACCGGGAACTATAATATGGAGCTGAACAGAGGAGGGAGGGATGCAACCTTTTTGGCCAGAGCATCTGCGTATCTGACTCTCTCCCCTTGCTACTTACATTAATCAAGTTCCCATCAATTAACAGATTGTCGATTAGTAATTGATAGAATATAAGTACTTATGGTAAAGATCTCTTGCCTCTGCCAGAGGCATTGTTTGAGCACACCCGAAGAGGCCCCAAAAAGAAAGTATGTGTCTCCTCTCTAAATTTTTGTAAATATCTTAAACTCTAAACCCTAAACCTTAAATTCTTTTATGCCTTTTGGATTACCTTACAAGCTGCCACGCAAATTAACTTTTGAGGTAGAGTCCCTATTGACCTTCTAGTGATGTTATGTTAACCCAACTGTGATGGTGTCTTGTGTTTTCACAATTATATCATATCCATACACCTAAACACTAAAAAATGACTTAATAAATACCCATAATATGTTTTTAACTAATTTAAAAAACAAAAAACAGTATCAGATGAATGGAAAAATGGGGCTAGTGTACCTATTTATAAGAAATAAAAAGAAGAGATATACACAATTGCACAAACTACCCAAAGATCGAACTTAGGAGCCACACTGTGAAGGTGTGGTAGAGAGTGATCGAGCAACTTCTAAAATATGAAACGAATATATCGATTTGTTTTTATATGAGGAATTAGGGCGAAAAGAGCCGGTGAGTAAATGACTTTTATGACTAGGAGACTTGTACAATGGTGAATTTCAGTTTGGGAAAAGTTTATATAGAGCTGAGGCTTTAAACAATCAAATTTGAGCCTACCCAAAAAATTTCACTAGAAGAGGTTGTTTTGATGCCCAAATATCCTCAAATTGACCATCTCGACATTTGGATGCATGGACATTAGAAAAAAAACCATGGATTTCAAGTTTTAGAAATTGTGTATTTTGTAACACATTTTTGAACCGTCAATTTTTAAGATTTTCAAATTTTCATAGGACTGTCGATCTACGTTGTTTTTGAAGCTTTAAACTTCATAAATAAATATGAAAAAATATTTTAAGGCCATCACAAATATTTTCAATATTAAAACCACATTTCTCGATACTATTTAAAGATAGGCTCTAATTTGATTGTTTAGAGCCGAAGCGCTATACAAATGGCACCCTTTGATTTTAGTAAAAGTAGAGTACAAAAAAAGCGTGTAACGAGAAAAATAGTGACTTTTCAGTGACTATTATCAGTTGTGTGCAGCTCAGAAGGTGTGTCAATGTCCGAATTTTATCATTATTATTATTTTTTCACATCGATTCGGGCTAAAATTTTGGACGGGTACCATTCTCACCCTCGTGGATCTGAATACGGTGTAAAAAACTTTTAAAATATAACAGTAAAAATACCCCTGCATTTGCATTTGTATTTTGATTATTTCGTTTTATTGAAATGATTTTTTAAGTTTTTTCTAGTGCGCCCAAGTGAGGTGCACAAACTGTAAGAATTTTAGCCAAAAGTCCAAAACTAATATGTACGGGAAAAAAAAAAAGCAATTTCTTAACTTCAAAGAAGGATACATGCTCTCAATCGTTCAATAATGGTCAAATGGTTTTGTTTTTTTTTTTGTTGGGAAAATCAACGGGGGGGAGAAGGTTCCCTACCCATTTTTCATTAAATAAAAATAGAGAAGATGCAAATCATAAGGTTACGACCTTATGATAGGGCAATTGAGCCAAATCATGAATTAAAGATAATGAAATGAAATCTGGCAGCCTAGAACGTAGTAGCAACAGAGAGAGAGATATCCCCTTCTTGGCAAGGGTATATGCTATCGTATTGGTCTCGCGGTAGACGTGCATGGTCAGATGGTTGAGAGCAGTGGTTTAAAAAATGGATCGGTGACCCGGATTGGGAATCCCAAAAATCGATCCGGATCGGGAATCGGGCCAAATCGTTGGATTAAGCCTTAAAAAAATCTAAAAAACTTATTAAAATTCATTATTTTTTAGGAATTCAATAAGAAATGGGAGTACTACATTATTAACTTTCATTGTTTTCATCAATTTATGAATATTGAGATGTTCTTTCCCTATATGAACTTATATTGACCATTAAATTTACATCACACAAAAAAAAATCATAGAATTATCATGGATTAAGTATATAATCATATATGAACTACAATAAAGAGTTGATTAAATTCATGAAAAATTGGCTACTAAAATCTCGAATTGGCGTAAAACCCTAATCCGCTAAAAAAAACCAAAACTTTTACAATCTAACTAATTATAATATTATATACCAACAATAGTTTATAATTATTTTATTATATAAATAATAACAAATCCAAAATAATACAAAAATTAATAAATAAAATAAAAGATTTGATTATCAATGTAGAAATTATTAAAATGTGTACCAA